TAGCCTTCACAGCCTCCTGCATCAAGGAGTTCCACAGGTTGACTATTTGCTTTGTGAAGAAGAACTTTCTGTTGTTAGTTTGAAGCCTGCTACCCATTCATTTCATTTGGTGTCCTTTAGTCCTTCTATTATGGGAACTAATGAAGAACTTTTCTTTATGCACCCTCTCCACACCACTCATGCTTTTATAGACCTCTATCATATCCCCCCTTGGTCTCCTCTTTTCCAAGCTGAAAAGTCCCAGTCTCTTTAGCCTCTCTTCATATGGGACCTGTTCCAAACCACTGACCATTTTAGTTGCCCTCCCCTCTCCCACCCTCTCTCTTCCCCTCTCCCACCTTCTTTTCCCAGTCTCCCCGAGTTTTGTTCAATAAAGAGAGTTTCTTTATTTTGTACATCAGGAAGGGGGGCTAGGGAGGGGTAAGTGGAAGGAGGTGAGGAAGGAATGGGGTACGAGCCCCCGATGGGGAGGACTGGGCTGGCTCTGTGGGCTCCTCGGGGTGGAAACTCTCCTGAAGCCCCTTGTTTGACCCCCCCCTCCTCCGGATGGCAGCCTGCGGCAAGTGCAGCCGGGCTGATGGCCGAGTGCTGTGATGTGCCCAGTGTGGGCACTCCGGGCACTCCAAGCCAGGACTGGTTTGCAAGCAGGGCACCTCTGAGAACTGTCTGTCCGGGGTGGGGGTCGGGACCCTTTAAGCGCAGCCCTCGGCAGGCCTGAGACAGCATCTCCACGCTCTACGTCCTAATCTGATGCCCTGCCGGCACTGCTTCCGGCCATCCTTAACCTCAGTTCAGGGTCCACTCAGTGTGGACATGCTAGTTTGAATTAGCAAAATGCTAATTCGAACTAGCTTTTAAGTCTAGATGCGCTAATTCGATTTAGCTTAGTTAGAATTAACTAATTCTAACTAAGTTAGTTTGAATTAGTGCTGTAGTGTAGACATACCCTAAAGGATCTGTATGAAGTAATCCTGGTCTGAAATGTAAAAGATAGAATAATGTACTCAAAGATATTGCTAACTAAAGTACCATGGAGTACTCAATAAATCAGTCAACTCTGTTATTCATGGGATAGGCTGTCTGAATTCAGAATACTGATTATGGCTAGAAAAGTGCAGTATATTAAAGGTTATGAAATAAAAGAAAATACAGCCTGACAGAATTATAAAGTTTAGAAAGTCTCTATTTCTCTATCGGTTGCCACCAATCTTGGAGTCTTGCAAACTTAGATTAATGATAGTCAGAACCTAATCAGTGTTGAGTGATCTGGACCCTGTCAGAATGTGTAAAACTTCAAAGGAGTTGTGTGGTAAAGAGCTCAGTTTAATGTTAGATGTATCTCAGACTTGGTCTTAACCAGGCTTTTTAAGTTGAATGTGCATTGCTTTATATAATATTAATGTCCAGCTCTTCTATAAAATTTTTCATTCTTAGATCTCAAAGAGCCGGATTTGGAAAGACATTTAGATGCCTACCAGTACAAGTAGGCATTATTAGGATTTGAATATGCACTTTTGGAAATTCCACTAGCCACTTAGATGCATTTTTAGGCATCTAAGTACCTTTCAAACTTTGGCCCAAAATACATTAGAAAGTTAATGGATGGGAATCTGAGGCATATAAACATGAAGAGATTTATTTGCCTGTGATCACCTAGCAGGCCAGTAGCAAAGCCAGCTATAGAACCCAGATCTCCCTTCCCAGTGTTTTATCCATTAGACCAGGGGTCTCCAAACTTTTCTGCCTGAGGGCCGCATTAACTATCAAACAGCAGTTCGGGGGCCGACTACACACTTGAGGTCCAAATAAAAAACAATCAAAACATGGATGTTGTTTTTAATTATTTATTTAATATTATTTTATTCAGTTATTATTTAATAACACATTGATACACTACACATGAACACCTGTATTAGTGTGAATGGTGAAATTGTTTCCTGGATGCCAAAATAGCAGACATTTCTGGCTTTAGAAATCACTGTTTGAAATTGGGGGTGGTGCTTGTCCTAGTCCTGCAGGAGGGGCTCCAGAACGGGGAAACTGCTGAGAACTCATTTCCACCTGCGCAATGTGATGAAAATTGTAAGCAACATAATCCTGGCAATATGTTCAGCCTAAGACACTCACACTTGAAGAGATGTGATCGCTCTCCTATCATGCAGGGAATGAGGTGACAATTTGTAACATAGCCCCATGGAACAAGGGGCATGCATTTTAATGGGAAAAGCTGGTTTGAAAGCAGACACGTTATCACTTGGTAAAGGAAGTTGGAAAGCAGTGCCCAACGCTCCCACAGACTGATACCCGGCAGGGCGGTGCTGCTCTGGGTTGTGGATGAGAGAGACCAGACGTGGAAGGGAGAGGGATGTTTCTTCAGGGCGCACTGCAGGGACCAGGGCAGCGCGCTAGGCACGGCACAGCGTCACCCAGAGGCTGTGCCACAGCAACCAGACCGCCTCCTGCAATGGGCACCAGCTCCTCAGCCCCGCCCCCGGAGAAGTAGCCCCTCGCTCCTAGCCCCTGAGAAACCACCGTCGGGTTTCCTCCCCTCCGTCCAGCCTCCCGCGATCCTCTGCCGCCGGGTCTGATCCGGAGCCCGCCTTCGAGACCCCCCTTTTTCGCCCGCCCGGCCAAGCGGCACGCGGAGCCGTCCCTGACCTGGGCTACCTGCTGTCCCGTGCGCGCGCAATAGTGCTTCATTAGTAGCAAGTAGTGTTCAGAATCAGATTTAAAATGTACAGGTATACAAGTTAAAAATGGCTTAGAATTTGCACTGCCATTGAGGAATGTTGGCTAAACAACCAGTGGAGCCACTGAACAACTGAGATACTAAAGTTAATATGGTTTTTGTAAAGGGAAATCATGACTCACCAATCTACTAGAATTCTTTGAGCATGTGGACAAGCATGCAGACAAGGAGGAATGCCAGTGGATATAGTTTATTTAGATTTCCAGAAAGCTTTTGGCAAGGGACCTTGTCAATAGACTCTTAAGTAAAGTAAGCTGTTATAGGATAAGAGGGAAGGTCCTCTCATTGATTGGTAACTAGTTAAAAGATAGGAAACAAAGTGTAGGAATAAATGGTCAGTTTTCAGAATGGAAATAGTTTAACTTGTGGTGTTCTCGAGGGGTCTGTAGTGGGACCAATCTTATTCAACATATTCATCAATGATCTGTAAAAAGGGGTAAACAGTGAGGTGGTAAAATTTGCAGATGACACTAAATTACTCAAGATATTTAAGTCCTAAGCATACTTTGAAGGAATCAAAAGGATCTCACAAAAATGGGTGACTAGGCAACAAAATGTCAAATGAAATTCAATATTGATAAATGCAAAGTAATGCACATCGGAAAACATAACCCCAAGTATACATACACATTTATGGGGTCTAAATTAGAGGTTACCACTTAAGAAAAGTCATTGTGGATAGTTCTCTGAAAAAAATCCATTCAATGTGAAGCAGCAGTCAAAAAAGCTAACAGAATATTGGGAATCATTCAGAAAGGGATGGAAAATAAGACAGAAAATATCTTATTGCCTCTATATAAATCCATGGTATGTCTACATCTTGAATACCGTGTGCAGATATGGTTACCTCATCTCAGGAAAGATATATTGGAATTGGAAAAAGTTCAGAAAAGGGCAACAAAAATTATTAGGGGTATGGAATGGCTTCTGTATGAGGAGAGTTAACAAGACTGGGATTTTTTTATCTTGGAAAAGAGACAACTAAGGGGGGGGATATGATAAAGGTATATAAAATCATAACTGATGTTGAGAAAGTAAATAAGGAAGTATTAATTATTCCTTATAACACAAGAACTAGGGGGTCACCTAGTGAAATTAATAAGCAGCATGTTTAAAGCAATCAAAGGGAAGTATTTTTCATAGAAGGCACAGTAATCCTATAGAACTCCTTGCCAGAGTATATTGTGAAGGCCAAGACCATAACAGCATAAAAAATCTTGATAAGTTCCTGGAGAAAGGATCCATCAATGGCCATTAGTCAGGTTGGGCAAGGATGGTGTCCCTCTCTGTTACCAGAAGCTGTGGAGAGGGTGACAGGGGATGGATCACTTCATGATTACCTATCCTGTTTATTTCCTTTGGGGCACCTGGTATTGGCAACTATTGGAAAACAGGATTCGGGGCTAGCTGGATCTTTGATGTGACCCAGTATGGTCATCTTATGTTCTTAGTGTTAATCTATCATTCTCTCTGTAGTGGGCTTTCCAATTATTGCTTTGTCTTTTTATTTCAGCCACGTGGAGCTAGTGACTATTTGGAAATATCTAAGAATTTTGACACTGTCTTTGTTCATAACATACCAATACTTACCATGGCAAAAAGGAGTCAAGCGCGCCGCTTCATTACTCTTATTGATACGTTTTATGATCACAAGGTGAGAACTAAGTGTTACAATTACACATGTATGTAATGGTATTTGGCCATTTTATACATGATTCCTGTTTTCCATCAGGTAACAAGTAAGACCATTTTATTTTAAATAACATTGTTAGCTAGCACAGAATCTCACATTTAGTTCAATCACATGCATAAATTGCACACAAAAAATGGCAGTTTCTCTGTATGTTTTGGCAAAGACTTAACAGAGATTATATATTACTGAGATGGCTACTTCTCCAAAATTTGTTATGGTCATGTCCAATCAAGACTCTTTACAATAATTAAAACACACAATAAATTGTCATGTTAAAAAATCAAGTCAAATAGGCTGCTACCACCTCTGGTATCACCTTCAGCACAGAATTGTTTGCTCACCAGTCCAGGACTGAGCTCTGTGATGGCTCACACCAGAGCCTGCACAGAACCCCAGTGAAGTCATTGCAGCTCTATGCAGCTCAGTGCAGGATCAGGGCCTTATTTTCCCTAAGTTTCAATAATTGGCCAGGGGGGTCTCCCAGTCATAACAGTGAAATAGCAAGATACTTCTATATTTTAAATTCTTTCTTTACCTTAGTAAAAGTGATTTTGAAACTGAGAGAGAAGAGAGGTAACTTACATTTTTAATATTTAAATGGAGAGTAAAGGCCATTCCCAGAAAATTGTCTATGATTATTTAATCATGTTAAATATTCTTCTTTGAAGACTTTCTCATGTAAGACTCTCACTCTTGGGTTTGTGCTCCTTCACGCAATGCTACAAAATTGCCAGCTTAATTTCAGGATTGAGAATCATGTGCAATGTCTTCAAAGAAGCAGAATTATAGGGAATTCATTTTCTTTTATTTTAATTTTTCAAAACCATAATTTACTTTGGCTTTTTCCATAGCTAGAATATACATATTTTTCTTAATAAAGGTACCTTCACATAAGAATAAAATCTGGCAATTTCTAGACATTAATAATCCAAAAAGTGTTTTTTAAAAAAGTGAAAAAATATTAACGATTTAAAAATTTTGAGCTTAATGTAATATGACCATATTTTAAAACAAATATTCTTCTTCGAGTAGTGTGCATGTGGGTGCTCCATCTTAGGTCTTGAGGTGCCTCTGCGCACCTATTCAGAGATTTACAGTAGCAGTGCCCTCCGGTGGGCCGCGCAGGTGGCATGCATAGTGCCACTACCACACATGCGTGGCAACTGTCCCTTCAGTTCCTTCTCTACTGCTGTTGGCGTCGTTCGGAACCACAGTTGCTCTCCTCATTCGCTTACTAGTTGAATATTTTTCAGTTATTAGTTAGTGTTGCTATTAGTTAGAGTTAAGTTTTTTCTTCTTTATTGAAAAAAGAAAAAAAAACGTTTCCTGTTAGACCACACCAATTTTTGGCCTAACAGTTCTACTCTCTTTGGGATTCCTGGTTCCCTGGGATTCAAATGCTGCCTCTCTTGCAGGCTTTCTATCCCCAGTTGACGGTCATTCCCAGTGTGTGCGTTGCCTCGGTCAGGAACACACTACCACATACTGCCAGCATTTAAAACATCTTACAACTCGTACAAGGAAGGCATGGGAACTTCAATTAAAACTCCTTTAATTGGAGAATATGGTGAGACCAACTTCAGACCAGAGCACTCCTCTCCCCTGCACCAACCGTCACCTCTGGCCATGTCTGAAAGAACAACATTGGCCAGCTTGTATTTAAGAGACTCTTCCTCTGACCAAACCAGGAAGAGATCTCACTCCTCAAGTAAAGGTGACTCTTCTTCAAAAAAATGGAAGCAAGCACCTAATGTGCCCCCTACTCCAACTCCAGTCAGGGTTCTGGACAGGGAGGCTCCGGGACTGTCTGGAACCAATGGTTCCTGAGGGTCCAAGGACCTAACTAAGCCAAGCAAGGCGCCAGGCAAGGTCAAGGCAAAATACACACCATTGGCACCGTTGGCACATATATTTGCAATGATGAAAGATAAGGTCAAGTTAGCCATGGCACTGCCGGCACCAAAAAAGCCAAAGCCACATATAGTACCATCAGCACCCATGCCACTTCCAGCACCAAAGAGCCACAAGCATGTGGTATAGACTCCCTCTCGGTACCGTTGGGACCGTAGATAGCGGCCATAGTTCTTCTTCAAGTGGCTCCGTGGGTGCTCCACTCTAGGTGTCGGATCCCGTCCTGGCGCCGCGGCTTGGAGATTTCTCATAGCCGTGCTCTGCCGGCTCGCGCACGCGTGCTTCCTTAGCAAGGCGTTCGCGCCTTTGATCAGCCGCGCGTGCAAGCCGGCAACCATCAGTTCCTCTCAACTGCCTCAGATCACGGTCAGAGCTTCCTGAGTATTTCTCTTCAGAATGTTTTCAGTCAGTTTTTGCATCTGTAAATAGTTAAATTTGTTAGTATTAGTCGTGTTCCTGCTAGTTTGTTCTCCTGGTCATAAGAAAGTTTAAAAAAAAAGTTTTTTTCCTCAAGCTGCTTCTCATAAAGCGCTGCACAAAGCGCTAAAAGTAAAATTGACAAGGTTTCACACGGGGCTTATACAGGCATTTATTCTGTACTCATTTTGAAAATGCCTGGATCGACTGGTTTTAAAAAGTGTTTGGCATGCCGTGAGCACATGGCAATGGCTGACGGCCATGACACCTGCATTAGGTGCCTGGAGGAAGCTCATGTCCCCGAGAAGTGCTCTCACTGTAGAAAATTAACATCGAGAGCCCGGAGGGAGCGGGAGATGAAGATAAGAATGCTGATGTTCAGGAAGGCATTGCAGCCTGACCCGATCCCTCCCGCAGCCACAAAAGCCCCTGAACAAAAACGCAGGGCGGCTTCCCCGGGACCAGACGGCTCGAAGCGACCGAAGCCGTCCTCAGTGTGATCCCTCCCTTCAGCAGCTGCAATGACTTCAGGGGCATCCAAAATGACCCCCGGGGAGTCTGGACAATCTGCTGGGGTGGCCATCAGAGAGCCCCCACCACTGAGAGCGAGAGCGGCTTCGGCACCAGCATCGGGAGCGGCGCCGCAGCTAGCTGGCAAGTCTGCACCGGTCTCAGCTGTGCGCTCTGTGAAATTGACGCCGGTGCCGCAATTGACCAGCCGCTCTGCACCAGCTTCAGAGGCACCGGCTATAACAGCGCCTGCCTCACCGGACCCGCTTATGGCGCTGGCACCAGGCTCCAAGGCAGAAGGTCTTGATGCCTCAGCCCCAGCCCCACTGCTGACTATGGCACCGGACACTCTGCCAGCACCAGTATCATCAGCTGTTTTCCCCGGCACCACTCCACTGCTATTCGGTGCCTGGCTCTCCTGTGGCTGTTAGGGCAGAAGACACCTCCCTACATAGGAAGGCATTATCAAAGACTCATTATAGAGACAGATCCCTGTCTCCAGATTTTTCACCGTGAAGGTACGGTCGCTATCGTGACTATAGTGTTTCTCCTACACGGGTCACGTATGGACGGCGTAATTATAGGGACATAGTGTATCTGGAAACACGTCGGTCCCGTTCACGGTCCTGCTCACCCGGTCGATCCTTAAGATACAAGCCTGGTAGACGCTTCCCATGCCCCGTCTATTATATCCAGCATGATAGTGCACACTCGTCACACCACTCCTCCCCGTTGCATTCTGAGCGCTATTGTGACAGCTACCATATACCATAGGATGATCATCCCCGGTGTGATCGTACATCGTCCTCCTGTAGGGGATCCTCCTGCATTTGTCAACCATTGAGTGCAAAATACTTACCTCATCAATCACAGCACCTAGATTCACCTTCTCCATCTAAGAGTCCAACGATCCAACTAGACCAGTCCGAGCCGGAAGAGGGGCAGTTGTCTGATGTTGAAGACCCCAAACCGGAAACTTCTCCAGCAGACTGCTCCTCGTCATCTCCGGATGAGGCAAAATTTCCAGCTGACATCTCTCCACCGGATGATCTGAGACAATTCCAAGACCTCTTTAAATGTGTGGCGGGCACACAGGGAATACAGCTAACGGTTATTCCGGTTAAAAAGCACCGTCTCTTGAAAAACCTCCATCCACAACAACGTGCAAAGATCGCCTTACCTATTGATGATGCGATCATGGAAGTGGCGGATGAGATATGGCAGACCCCAACATCTGTTACACCTACCAGTAAAAAGGCTGACAGAAAATATTTTGTACCGGCGAAAGGATTGGACTTCTTGTTCAATCATCCCCAGCCTAACTCATTAGTAGTGGACGCAGCACAACGTAGGGCTAAAGCACCACAGTACATACACTTCCGGACAAGGACAATAAAAAATTGGACATTTTTGGTAGGAAGGTCTACTCCTCAGCCACACTTCTACTGCACATCGCAAATTATTCGGCCCATCTATCAAACCATAATTTTGATAATTATTCCAAACTAGCGGAGTTACTTCATCATCTCCCGGATAGTAAGAAGCCACTCTTGAAGGCAATAGTCCAAGAAGGGTAAGCATCAGGTAGTACAGCACTGCAGATAGCCATGGATGTGGCTGACACAGGAGCTAGAGCTACTGCCACAGGTATTGCCATGAGGAGATCATCATGGCTGTCATCTGCAGGAGCCCCAAAGGAGATGCAAAGCAAGGTTCTGGGGAAAAGGCTTTTATTCCCGATATTTTCTCACACCAAAAAAGTCGGGAGGCTAGAGACCCATTCTAGACCTTCGAAAGCTAAATCGACACCTTCGGAAGTTTCGTTTCAAGATGGTAACCTTAACAACTATCATTCCGTCGTTGAACAAAGGGGATTGGCAGACCTCGACTTACAAGACGCTTAGTTCCACATAGCTATCCATGTGGCTCACAGACGTTTCCTCCATTTTCAATTGGGAAACGAGCACTATCAATAGTTCTGCCCTTCGGTCTGGCATATGCTCCCAGGGTTTTCACCAAAACATTGGCAGTGGTTGCGGCCCATCTGCGCAGATTGGGAGTGACAATCTTCCCCTATTTGGACGATTGCCTCATCAGAGGAACGACATTTTTGGAAACATGTC